GATCTTAGGGTGATTACAGACCTGGGGTGTGGGACTCAGTGGAAATTCCCTGGTCTGAACCTGGGACTATCCCCCGGGGGTTCTGGAGAGGGAAACTGAGGAGAATCTGAGCCCACTCACATGAGGGTGTCAGCCCAGGGATGGAGAAGCACAAGGCTCCTGTGTGGCAGGAGGGGGACACTGAGTCCTGACTGTTGCTCAGACAACCCCAATGCCAAACAGTGGCACATGGAGACCCAGCTATCATTGGCCACACCCATGCTCCAAGGACAGGGACCTCAGAAGGGCCAAGACAGCTCTTCACGTGCATGGCATGGCACCTGGGCACTTGACAGTTCTGTGGTATCCCAGGGAACTCAAGAAGATATGTCCAGGGTGTCTGAAGTCCTTGCCCAAGCACACAGCATGCAGTGCTGGGATTTGAACCCAAGCGTGTGCTGGAAGGCTATGCCTTTTTCCACCCCACCCATGTACAGTCAGCAGCTAGGTTCCCCACCACTGCCAGCATCCTTCTCTCACCCAGAACCTGAGCAGGCGTGGATGGCAGGAGAAGGAAGGAGCAGGTCAACTTGCTTTTGAATTCTACAGCACTGGGTTTTGAAGCAAGCCCTGGTTTCCTGGCTACCATGATACATGAAAGCTGCTTCATCTGAAATGAGAAGCAGAAGAAACAAACACGGAAGGGAAACGGGCTCCAACTAATCCCACCAAAGGTTGCCGGGGCCCATCAGGTGATGCCTAAGAGGCAGGCCCAAGAGGGCTGGGGCAGGACATCAGGGACCAGGGCTAGAGGGGAGAGGCCAGCTCCCCCAGCCCTGTCAGAAAGGCTCTCATCAACCTCTATGTGGCTGTGGCAGGCCCACTGGGCCTTTGCTGTGGCTGAGCTGCCCTATTGTTACCCTCACTTTCCTACCACCCTGCCTCAGACAACCTCAGTGTCTCCCTCCAGGGACATGCCCTTGATTTCCCTTTCCCCCATCCCTATCATTCTGGAAGCCTATGCACCATATCCACTCTTTCACTCACTGAACACTCCAATCATTCCACGTTGCTTAGCTATGTCCTGGTCACTGAGCTCCCACATGGCTGGGCACAGTTCTAGGCCCTGGCATACCCTAGCAAACATGGCAGCTAAAAAACTCTTCTTTCTTGGACTTGACAGTTTAGGGGACCAGGCAGACAGGAAACAAGGAAGCCAATGCTTCTCTGATACCTTTTCAGGTGGCAATGGGTGTTATGAAGCAGAACAGAGCTAGAAGGATACAAAGTCACAAAACTGAGTCTGTTTTAGATGAGATATTCAGGGAGGGCCTCTGGGAAGGTAGCATCTGAACCTCTGAGCAATATGACCCCAACTGTGGATACAAAAATGGGTCAGAGTGGTCCTTGCCCTCAGAGAACTCACAGTCTCACACAGGACAGAGAAGCTGGCCTTATCCCAACCGTGCAGGACCAGATCTGGCTCATCTGAACATTCCCATATGCTGTAAGTCAGTGATGTTTCCAAACATAAATTTGCCCAGGTTACTCAATGGCTTTAGGACCTTCAATGGCTCCCCACTGTCATCAGCATCAAATCCAAACTCTTTAGCCTTCTATCCTAGCCCTTCAGGACCTGACCTACCTTCATTCTCAGTGTCACTCCCACTGCTGCTCCCGGTGCCCACCCAAGGGGGTGTTCCCATGTCTTTCTATATGTTGCTTCCTTTTCCAGGTAACATTCTCATCCCTGTGCTCCCAAACTCACCCTCCCCAACTCAAGAGCATACACAGGTTGTTCACAGGCTGAGTAGCTAAGAAAGTTCATTGCAGGGAAAACGGGGAGTGAGAAAATGAGGCAAAGCACAAGCCACCAAAGAGGAAATGGCTCTTCTCCTTCCCAAACTGTTGCCCCAGGGTTCACAACGTCCTGCTGGCAGCACTCTGGGACACACTTCTCACATTTGATCTTGCCAATTGTTTTCCCTGTCAGCCTGTCCCATCTCCCTGCCGGCCCCAGGGTCCAGCACCACACCAGCCAGAGAGGAAGCTCCATAAATATTTGGAGAGCAAATGCAGAAATGTGAGGAGGAGACCGATTTTCTTGAGCCTTCAACCTTTGAATTCCATCCAGTGGTGTCTCTGCCACCGTCCCCCTCTTCTGTTGGATGTGCCCCCTGGGCTCCTCCATCGCTCTCTGAGCCTCAACTCCAGATGTTCTGTGCTGTTTCTGTTTTTCTTGGAGGGGTCTCATGTTTTGGGGGAGATAATAAGCTTACTTTTCTAACCAGGAGCCCCCTTCCCAATACACACACACACACACACACACACACACACACACACACACCCTCTATGCTTGAACATTCTACAGGCTGGAGCTGGTGATTTCCTAAGGCCTTAATGCTCATGCCAGCCCTGTTATGAGCTGAAAAGCCGATGAGTAGAAAGGGAAATGGAAAGAAGGGAAGGCAAGGAGTGGTGGTCCTATACCTCTGGGTGCTGGAGCCACAGAACTTCTCCTCTCCCTTCTATTCCCACTGACTGGCTGCCTCCAGGAGGACCCAGATATCCCCTGGATGTGCTGTGGGCAGCATTGCCCACCCCCATCTTCCCCTCCACAAAGGTCATACCCAATTCTTTCATGGGGCCCTTTCCCCTCCACGGTCTGGCCTCATAAACACCCCAATCAGACAGGTGGGCCAGGCACCATGATCACCCTCATGTGACAGATGAAGAAAATGAGGCTCAGAGAGAGGAAGCAGGGTATATGATGGAATCCCAAGACATTAACTAGACTGTGTCACACCCAGGGAAACTGAGGCCCTACAGGGAAGGGAACTGACCTAAGCTCCCACAGTAAATTAGAAGCAGACCCCTGATTTCCACTGCATTCCACTCGCCATCCATGCACCCAACTCTGTATTAACCCTGATGGACTAAGTTTCCTTATTGGCCAGGACTCCAAGGAAGAGCCTAAAGCAAGTCTGAGGTACCCACTGAAGCCCTCCTCCCACTCTCCTGTGGAGTCTTTCACCATCCAGCCCTCAAGTGCCAGTTCAAGTGCCATGCCCTCCTGTGACATCAGTCACCAACCAGCCCTGTGTCCAGTCAGGCTACAGCCCTCCAGACTCCAACCACCCCCTGCCAGGGCCACGGCTGGACAGACATGTCCCTTCCATCTACCCCGCGGTAATTAAAAACACACCCAGGCCTCTTCCAACTCGAGAGAGGCCAATTTTCTTTCCCTGACTGCAACCTAAATAGCAATATTTATGCCAAGCTCCCCATAATACTGTAAACATCCCAGCGTATAGTGGGCCAGCACATGAGTCATTTCCCCAAAGCCAGAGTACCGTGGTACCTCAGCCATATTCCAGGGAGTTCCCGCCTGCAGCCGGGCCCCAGGGCTGCCCTCCACACCCTGGCCCGTGGCACCCTCAGTGCCCCAGCTACCCCACTCTGGGAAACCACAGGCAGCCACCAAATCCTCCAGGAGCCGGAGGATAGCCACCTCTGTGCCAGAATCTGTAGCTGCCATCCAGGGACACCCCCACCCCCCCGATCGCGGTCACTTAAGCGCTCATGACTGAGAGAGAAACTAAAGTTATCACAATGGGTCCCCCATCAAGCCATCCCCAGAGGCTGCAGCCCCTATGCCTGGTCTGATCAGGGTTTTTAATGTTTCAAGAGGAGAAGGGGCTTCTCACCACTCTCAGTGGCCCAGGTGCAGAATCCTGGAAGGAGTCACCCTGTTTGGGTTCAAGAAAACCCAGCAAAGTGAGTCCTGGCTTCAAATACCTCAGACCCAGGTTCTATTTTTTAGCACCCAATGGCTATGGGTGAAACACTGGGTTTTTCTAAGCCTCAGTTTCCCTATTTGTTAAACTGGAGTAAGAATCATCGCCTCCTGGCTTTCTTGGAATACTTATCCGGAAGGATTCAACACCATTGTGGGCGGGAAAGCACTTTGTAAGGCTTAAAGTACCTCGTCAACCGTGCAGCACGTTGTAAACCAAAGAGCTGTGTAGAGTGCAAAGTACTTCATAAACTGTAAAGCGGCTTGAAAACTGTAAAGCGCAGTCCACATGAGAACCATTATTTCTGTTCAGCTCTTGCCCAACCAGCTCGGCCATTCCTGATGGACACACCCAGACCCCACTAACAACTTTCCCTCCAGAGCAAGCTAGGAGGGGAGACCCGGGCAGCCTCTCCTTGCCTCCCTGGGGGTCGGTGTTACCAACACACGAGGCCACGGAGAGAGGGCCCAGCGACCCCGGCCAAGGCCAACACATGGCAAGAGCATCTGGTCCGGCCCTGACGGCAGCTGGAGAGTTCCCGGGGCTCCAGCCGCCACGCTGAGCTCTGCCGCCTGCGGGGCGGTGGCCGGCGGGGGGTGCCCAGGGACCCCGCGCTGCGGGGAGATGCCCACGGTCCCATCCCCCGCGCAGTCCTCCCGGGGAGGGGACCCCTTTGTACGCCGCGGGTGATGGGCAAGCACCCGCACGGGGACTGGCGCGCTCACTTCCACTCTGCTAGTCGCCGCTCTCCGGGACGCCGGGCCCCATCCCGGGGGGGCGCGGGCCGAGAGCCCCCACCCCGGCCAGCCGCGATGCCTCCCTCCCTCTGCTCCCTGCCAAACTTTCCAGCTCCGACTGCGCGCCGGGCCCCCTGGCCCGCGCCCCTCCAAGCCGGTGCGGAGCAAGGCCAGGCCGGCGTATGGGGCTGCGGGGCCGGGGGCAGCGAGCGCGCGTGGGCAGCCCCGGGCCCTGGGCGGCGCTCGCCGGGCTGGCTACAAAGCCTCGGCAAGATGGTCCCTTCGCCTCCTCCTGGCACAGTCAATCAGCGCCCGCCGCTCCCCGGGCGCCCGCCGGGCCCGCGCCTCCCGGTGCCGCCGGACACACCTCCCCGCGGCCACCTGCGCCCGGCGCGAGCCCCCGGGCAAACTTTGCGGCCGCGGGCGGAGGGGGCGCCGTGCCGGCCGGCCGCTCCCACCCCATCGTCCGCCCCCATCGCCCGCTCACCTTCCACGGCGGCGAGCAGCGGCAGCAGCAGCAGCGCGGCCCCCAGCCTCCGCAGGGCCATGGCTGCGCTTCCCGACGCCTCGGGCCGCGGCGCCGCGGGGCCCGGGCGGGAGCGCGCGCCCGGGCTCGGGGGGCCGGGGGGAGCGGCGAGGCGCGGCACACACACAGCCGCCGCCACCGCGCAGCCAGCAGAATGAGCCATCCAGCCCGGGCAGAACCGGGACCCGGGCTCCGCCAGCGCCTGGGTACGGCCCACCTGAGCCGCGGGCGTGGGGGAGCCCAGCCCGGCCGCCGCCCCCCGCGCGCGCCCCGCGCCCCGCCGGCCGCGCGCCGCCCCGAGCGCCGCGCCCCCGAGACCGAGGGCCCCCCCGGGGGACAGCGATGATTCTGGGGTGTGGCGACCCTGCGCCACCCGGGTTGCCAGGACCCCTGGTCCCCCCCGCGCAGCAGTGGTCTCTCCCGGCGCTGTGGCTCCTCCAGATAAAGCAGCGATTTCAGCCCAAATGTTTCTCAATTTTTATTGAATGCTGCAAAGCCGGAGAGCGTCTGGCGCGGCTGACAGGAGCAGGGAGAGGGGACCCGGGGGGAGGGCGGGGGAAGGGGCTACCCAAAGCGGGGGTTGGCCCTACCTGTCAGGGCCAGGAGTGCCACCCCCTCGCCTCAGCCCTGCCACCCGGGTCCCTGCGGCTTCGAAAGGGACCGAACTGCAATGAATGAGAAGAAGAAAAAAAAAAAGAAGAAAGAAAGAAAAAGAGGGGGAAGCTGGGAACAAAACAGGCGGCTTTCCCAGGCGCTGGGGCTGGGGCTGGGGCTGGGGCCTCCGACTAGGAAAGCCGGCCTTGGCGCTAATGTGCCGGCCTGGGGGGTTCACTGTGGCAGGGGCGCCGGGCCCTGGCAGCAGACCCCAGGCCTCCCCTCCTTGCTTGTTATTAAGAGCGAGCCCTCGAGCCCCTCCCCGCAGACCCTTCTATCTGTACATTGTATTTCTCCTCTGTCGATTTTGTTCTCCTGCAGTCTGAGCACAGAGGGGCAGAGAGGAGATGGGGGTGAGGGGGTATCTAGGGACAGCTTCTACCCAACCTCACTGTGGAATGGGCCTGTCCGTGCAGCAAGGTTTTGTGCATGGCTGTCCCTTCAGGGAGGACACAACCCCTTGTTCCATTTCTGTGGGCAGAGCCCTGCTCTGACAGCCTTCATCACCATCACCATTAACAGGCTCTGCTGAGGCCGGGTGGTAGACCGGCTTCAGGGGACCCGTGGGAACCACCCAGGCAGGGCCCCTGGCCTTTGGGAGTCCCACTCCTGATGTACAGATAACAGGAGCTAGTGGGGTGTGTGGGGGATTGTGTGTGTATGGAGGGGGAGTGGAAGAGCCCAATGAGAGATAAGCCATTGAAGTCTGTGCCACCCAGACTTCTGTCTCTTTGTCCCACAAACTAGCAAAATGTCCCAACAATCCCTTTCTTTCCGGGCCCACCTAATGGCACGACAGACTCTGAGACCCCATCTGAGACCTGGAAAAGTAGGCCATCTTTTGAAGCTCCAAGAGTCCATTGGAAATAGGTGTTACCCTAGGAGGCCATCAGGAGGAGGTGGGCCTTAAAGGATGTGAAGGAGACAGAGCAAGGGCAGATGGGAACAGGGAGGTCCCCCCTCAGGTCTACAGACTTCTCACCATTGGGTCTGCCAGGTGCGTGGCTCACACCTATAATCCTAGCTACTTGAGAGCTGAAATTGGGAGGATTGAGGTTGGGGGCCAGCCTGAGCAAATAGTTTGAAAGACCTCATCTCCAAAATACTAGAGTAAAATGGACTGTAGGAGTGGCTCAAGAGGTAGAGTGCCTGCTTTGCAAGTGTGAAGCCCTGTGTTCAAACCCCAGTCCCACCAAAAAAAAAAAAAATCTGTTGAGTGGGGTGGGAACTGGGTTTTATTTTCAGTTCTTGCTTCTCAGACCTTCCAGGAGATTCAGAATTTGGAGACCATGAGTTTGGGGTCCCACCTTGGGGCAGGACTCCCTCTCCTGGGCAAAGCAGCTCCAAGCAATGGTGCTTGTAGTACCAACCCCAAGGCATCCAGGCACTGGCCCCTTCCCAATCCAAGAAATGTTATTGAGCACCTATTATGTGCTGGGCAGATTTAGCTCTTTTTGTTTTTTTTTTTGCTGTATTGGGATTTGAACTCAGAGCCTACACTTTGTGCCACTCCACCAGCCCTTTTTTGGTGATGAGTTTTTTTTAAGACAGGGTCTTATGAACTATTTGCCTGGGCTGGCTTTGAACTGCAATCCTCCTGCTCTTTGCCTCCTGAGTAGCTGGGATTACAGGCGTGAACCACTGGTGCCCGTCACAGATTCAGCTCTTTAGCTTTGTTTCTATCCACAGGAGCCTTTAGCTGGGTGGCTATCTCCCTCTTTGACTCAAAGAACAGCGGAGCACATTCATGGAGGACCTGGAGCTGGGCACTAGGCTCAGTTTCATTTATACATTATCCCCTTATAGTCCTCTCAATCTTGTGAGGGTTTCAGATGGTGAAACTGAGGACCAGAAAGTCATTTTTTCAAGGTCACATAAAAAGTTGGAGCTAGGGTTCAAGCCCTGTCTGTCCAACCCTTGTGCTGATCCACTTATGCCTTTCATGGGCACATAGAACTTGGAGATTCAATTAATCAACATCTACTGTAGGTTACATAATTAGACAGCAGTCCTAGGCCTTTACCTGGCTAAACATAAACATTGTGATAAAGATAAAATAAAGTCCCCCTTCTTCCCCACTCCTTTCTTCCTAAACATTTTCCTTCCCATTTGGGATCCTATAGGGTGACTGGGATTTGCCTGCTGCCCAAGCCCTTCCTCTCTGGTCTCTTGGCAGCTACCTTCAGCCACACCTTGGCCCAAGCTGTGCCCTCCACCTGCTATGTTCCCAGCTCTTAAACCCGGTTCCGCCTTCCCCCGCTCCCCAGCTTCAACTGACATTGGTCTCACCCTTCTGGGACCCACCCATTGGTTTATGGTGTTTCCCAAAGCTGATTAGCCGCACCCTGCAATGTGGGTCCCTTGTTAGTCCCTCTGATTGTTTGAATGTCTCTGATTTGCATGTTATTTGCATATTGCCCTGGCAGTAGGTGAACTACCTGCAGGCAGGGCAGGAAACAAAGACCCTCCCCTGGCAGGAGAGCATCTGACCCACTCCCCTCCTTGCAGAGGAAGCAGCGGCCTGAGGCTTCATTTGTCTAATGACAACAGCTCCTCGCATTTGCAATCACGCTTTAACAGTTTACAAAGCAGCGTTCACACCCATCAACTCCACTAGTGCTAATGCAACCAGTCTACCCTGCAAGCCAGACAGCCCCGCAGTGGCAGTGGCGGCTGAGGGAGCACCCGTTTTCAGATGGGGAAGCAAGGACCCAGAGACTGGAAAGTATTTGTCTAAGGACCTGCGGCACATTTTGTTGGATTTTGGTGCAGCTGAGGACGCTTCAGTGACCTAACTTGTCTGTGTCTCTTTCAATGAAATTTGATTGACAAACAGTAGTTGGGCATCTCCTGCATGCCAGACACTGGGGAGGCAGGGACACAGGTATGGACCTGCTGGATAACAGCAGCCCTTCCCCATTATCCCCTTCAGGGAGCCTATATTCTGCTATAGGGACACTTACCTAGAGACAAGATAAATGCTAGGAAGACAATAAAACAGGGAGCTGGCAATGACTGGCTGAGGGGAGGGGCTACTCTAGCCAGAAGCTGGGGGGAGCCTTTGCGGGGAGGGTATATGACAATGAAGAGTCTGTGCAAAGTCCCTGAGGCAGGAACCTCCTGGGAGAAGCCTTCTGGCAATCCCTGCTCCTCTCCCAATTGTCTCTACCTCAGATACAGAACTGATAGAGAACCTGGCCAGTTGTGGGTCAGACCACATTACAAGCCAGTGCCAGGGGACCTGAGACTCCACTCAAGTTCCTAACACCTGTTTGCTATGTGACCTCATACAGCGCCCTTCCCTCTCTGGGCCTGAGCTGGAAGCTGGGAGCCAGTTACCCATCTTCTCTCATGAAAACTCATGAGCAGGACTGCCCAAGGAAATACAACACAAGCCCATATGTAATTTTAAATTTTCTGGTAGTCACATCAAAAAGATAAGAGGAGGGCTGGAGGTGAGGCTCAATGGTAGGGCGTGGGTCTTAGGTCTTAGCAATTTGCAAGGCTGGGTTACATCCCCAGCCCCACACTCTAAAAAAATAAAATGAAACAGGTGGAGTTAATTTTAATATATTTACTTAACACGATATATCCAAAATATTATTGTTTCGACATGCAATTAGTGAACTATTTCATAGTTTTTTTTCCATACTAAATCATTGAAAGCTGGTGAGTATTTTATATGTCTGCATTTGTTTGTATCAGCTATATTTCAAATGCTCAGTAGCCATATGTGACAGGTGACAACCATATTGGATGGCTTAAATGTAGCCAGTTACAGCAGTGATTATCCTATGGAGTGGAAAGCACTCTTCAATGGAGGTAATGAAACCCCAACCCCCAGGCAGGGGAGGAGGAGAAAGGGGGAAGGCTTCCTGGAGGAAGTGACATTTAAAAAAGCAATTCATCTTGACAGCTAGTATTTGTCCTCCTCCTCTTCAGAAAACTTTTTTCTACTTATGATAAAAGCAAAGCATGCTCATTGTGAAAAATAAAGACGATACAGAAGAGTTAAGAAGGAGAACAGAAGCCACTCAGCACTTCCCCAGCCTAAGTGCCGTTTCCTTCCAGACATTTTTCTAGGCACATGTATTTTGCACACAGCATTTTGCACACAGCATTTTTTACACCTGCATGGTGGCGTGAGCATTCTAGTGAGCGGTCATTGCTAATGGCTGTATACTACTCCAGGGACCTGGAGGGCTTAAAGTCAGCAACTCTCGGTGCTTCCCAGTTTCACTTTAGGCACCTGAAAACCCAGCTCTGCTGTGGATGCCCTTCTGAGCACAGACAGAAAGTGGAGCGGAGCGACCAGGAGGAGAGGGTCCTCTGAAAGCCACTCTGTTTGGACGCCAACCCTGGGTCTTTGTGAGCTGGAGGACACTGGGCTGTGGACACTGGGCTGGTGCTCTGAGCGGGCCGTCTCTCTACTGCCACCTGGTGGCCCTGGATGTTAATGCGCTGTCCAGGAGCACTGAGTGGAAGCGGTGGGCAGGCAGGAGGTGCTGGGCCCTGGGAGTCCACTTTTTATTTTGGGGAAACAGGGTCTCACTGTGTATCCCAGGCTGGCCTTGAATTTTAGCTCCTCCTGATTCAGTCTCCGAAGTGCTGGGATTACAGCAGTGAACCAACCCAGCTTCTAGTGTGCACTTCTGACCTCTGACCCCCCACCCACTCAGGGAGCAGCCTCTCAGGTGGGGCTCACCTGGGTCTCCATTCTGAGACTTCCATCTTGCTCGCCTTCTGAGGGGTCCAGGCTTTGAGAGTAAGACTGCTGAACTCCAACTCCACCTCTATGGAGTCCCGTGTCCATGAGCTAGTCAGCTTTTCTGTGTCTCAGTTTTCTCATCTGTGACATAGACTAACAATACTGCCTGTCCTGAAATGCGACAAAACACGAAGTGCTTAGCTCTGGGCCTCGTCCACAGCACATGCTCAGTGTTTCACTGCTTTGCAGTCAGAAGGAAACTGAGCACAAACTTCAGGCCTGGGTCTCATTTGACACTGTCCTCTCCCTCCCCTTCTCTGGTCTTAACCCTCAAGCCACTGGAAGGTTTTCCTGACTACCCAAGTCTCTGATTGAGCCACTTTCCTGATAAAGTCTTCACTGGCTCCCTGTTGCCTGGCATTCAAGGTGGCTCTCCCCAGGCTCCCAATGCAGACTCCACTGCCCACCCTCTGCTCCAGCCAAACTCTTGGCCTCGTGGCTCGGGGCGCATTCCTCATCTTCCCACCTCTGAGTTCTTCTCGTCCTCGGCTTCATCCTCTGCTACATCCTCCATCCTCTAGGGTACTGGAAGGCCATGCTCAGAACCGTCACATGCTGCCTCCTCCAGCGTGCTGATGGCGCACACCTCCTTCACCTTTTTCTTCCAAAGCAGCCCTGAAGACTGGAAAGCTTTGGAGTGAGGGGAGGGATGTGTGGAGACCCCATGTGACCCTGAACAAAGAGGGCACTTAACTTCCTTAAGCCTCAGTTTCTTTGTTTCTTTTTCCTCCTCCTCCTCCTTTTTCTCCTCCTCCTCCTCTTCCTCCTCCTCTTCTTCCTCCTCCTTCTTCTCCTCCTTCTTCTTCTCCTCCTCCTCCTCTTCCTCCTCCTCTTCTTCCTCCTCCTCCTCTTCTTCCTCCTCCTCCTCCTTCTCCTCCTCCTCCTCCTTCTTCTCCTCCTCCTCCTCCTTCTTCTTCTTCTCCTCCTTTTTCTCCTCCTCTTTCTCCTCCTCTTCTTCCTCCTCCTCTTCCTCCTCCTCCTTCTCCTCCTCCTTCTTCTTCTTCTTCTTCTTCTCCTCCTTTTTCTCCTCCTCCTCCTTCTCCTCCTCCTCCTCCTTCTCCTCCTCCTTTTCCTCCTCCTCCTCTTTTTCCTCCTCCTCCTCCTTCTTCTCCTCCTCCTCCTTCTCCTCCTCCTCCTCCTTCTCCTCCTCCTCCTCCTTCTCCTCCTCCTCCTCCTTTTTCTCCTCCTCCTCCTCCTTCTTCTTCTCCTCCTCCTTCTTTTTCTCCTCCTCTTCTCCTCCTCCTCCTCTTCCTCTCCTCCTCCTCTCCTCCTCCTCCTCCTTTTTCTCCTCCTCCTCCTTCTCCTCCTCCTCCTTCTCCTCCTCCTCCTTCTCCTCCTTTTTCTCCTTCTCCTCCTTCTTCTTCTACTCCTCCTCCTCCTTCTTCTCCTCCTCCTCCTTCTTCTTTTTTAAGATAGAATCCTGATAGTAGCTCAAACTGGCCTCAAACTCATGATCCTCCTGCCTTCTCCTCCTGAGTGCTGGGATTGCAGGCATATGCCACCATGCCCAGCTTTCAGGTTTTCTGTAATGGGCTTGATCCTTACAGGTTTCTTATGACTACAGAAGAGCTGACAGTCAAAATGCCTGCCCCAAGAGAGTACCTGTGAAATGTTAGTTTCCCTCCCTGTTAGCTCACACCCCTGACATGGGAAACTTCCCTGGAGAGGCTGCACCTTGTTCACCTCTGGATCTCCCTAGTCTGGTGAAAGGCCCAGCACGTGGGTACTGAGTTAAGGTTTGCTATTAGTGATTGAAATGTCTTTCCCAGTAGAAAGAACCTGCTCGGCCCTGGAAACAGGTAGTAAAAGGCCCAGCATCTGTGAACCATGGGAATTACAACTGCGAACCAAAAACTTCACCTCCTTCTGGCACCTGCATAGCCTGGATCGTCTCGCTCAGAGCCAGGGTCCTCGTGAAGTGGGTGCTGTCTGGTTTGCAGCAGGCAGCGTGTCTCTACAGCCCATCCCCATCAGCATCTGCTTTGATCCTCACCACAATCTTGTGAGCCTGCGGACCCTCCCCACATTACTGCAGAGGAAACTGGAATGCAAGAGGAAATAACTTGGTTACAGCCATATTCAGCAGACCCAGGAATGCTGGGTGAGGAGCCCAGCCTCCTGACCCTCAGGTTCAGGCCTATCTGAGCCTTGCTTGTAATGTAGTTGAAAAGGTACTGGATTTAATGTTAGGAACCCGAGTTCAAATCCCAATTCAGCCACTTATTTTTTGCATGGTTATTGTGATTCCTTGAGTCTTGGTTTCCTTGTGGCAGAGGCCCTGTGGGAAGATGAAAGGAGCCAGAGATGGGGACTGCCTCTGTAAACTGTGAGGTGCCATACCCAGGTGAAAGGTTGTTACAATTGCTCATGTGGCCTGACACAGAAGGCTTTGATCTTTGCGCCCTACAGGAGAGCAAGGTTTTATGGCTGTTACCTGGCTCCTGTTCCCTAATCTGCCTCTCTTTGGGAGATTGAAAGGGCTGTTTGGATGGGTGCCTGGCAAACAGAGGTGCAGCAGGGTGGGGGAGCTGGGTGTGGAGATGCAAACAGTCAGGAAAGTCACCCAAAGACTCATGTAGACTGTGCACTGGGGTTGGAGAAATACACAGATGGGCACAGCACAAGTACCATTCTTTTAGGACACTGGCACATGAGATATCATAGACCCAAGTGTAGCTTGGTGTCTAGGAATGTTCTGGCACAAGTGGGGCAGAAGGACAAAGATTACAGTTGGTTCAACTTAAACAGGACCAAGCACAGAAGAGGTGCTCTGAAAGTAATTGTCAAATGGGTGAGTGGATGGATGATGGATGGATGGGTGGATGGGAGGATGGACAGATGGGTAGATGGATGGACAGACAGATGGAGGATGGGTGAAGGGAGGATGTATGTATTTATGTATGTATGAATGTATGAATGGACGAATGCATGGGTGAATGGATGACAGATTGGTGGTTGTATGGATAGAGGATGGAGAGGAGAGGGGATGATGACAAGCAAGCAGGCTCCCAGGAGGTGGTGCCCCATGAGCTGAGACCATTCTCTGGATTTTAAGAAATTGACTCAGGAGGTTTTGGAAGGACACACACAGCAATCAAAAGCCAGGATTCTCTATTATGTGATTAAGACTTGGGGGAAGCTGGGCGCTGGTGGCTCATACCTATAATTCTAGCTACTCAGGGGGCAGAGATCAGGAGGATCACAATTCAAAGTCAGACCAGGAAAATAGTTTGAGAGATCCTATCTCAGAAAACTCCATTACAAAAATGGGCTGGTGGAGTGGCTCAAGGTGTAGGCCCTGAGTTCAAGCCCCAGTTCCACCCCCCTCCTCCCAAAATAAAAAGACTTAGGGGAACCCAGAACAAGCCTCGGGAGGCCTGGGCAGGGTGGTGATGATCCAGAACCTGAGGTCTCTCTAAACATTGAGATAATGCTAATAACAGCAGCTGCCAAGGGCCACACTGAGCATTTTCCAAAAGTTTCCCCAAATTCTTTGCTTTCCTGAGGCTCCCATGTCTTTCTTCTCTCAGAGGTCATACTCTGGGTCCCACCTCCAGCTCCCTGCCGCTGTCTGGGCCTCATGGGAGAAACTTGGATTATGAAGCCAGCCAGTCAGCTTGATGTGAAACAAGCCTTCCTGCTATTCAAGGCTCCTGTGTGTTCAAATTCCTGTGACATTCAAATTGCTGTGACATGGGATCTCGTGGTCAGGGGAGCAGCCCTGCTCAGGGGCTTATGATGGGTCGGACAGGGCCAGAACTAGAACTCAGCTCTCTGGTGCTTCCCCATCTCTGCTCCCTAACAGGAGCAGGCAGGTGGGGTCCAGGAGTGGATCTGAGATGAGGGGAGTGGGGCCAAGTGTCTCAGCCTCTGAAGATGACCTGGACAAGCTCTGTTCCCTGGAAGTGGTCCCCAAATGTGTTGAGGCACATTTGTTGACTGTGCCCCCAAATCTTCAATACAAGTGCCTGACATCGACCACGACAGAACTTCAGAATCCTTAGACTCACAAAAGCCTGGCATCCACTTCACCCATCATGTTAGAAATAAAAAAACTGAGTCTTAGAGAAGGAAAGTGACTTACTCAAGGTCACACAGTAAGTCAGTGGGCCACAGTGGCAAGACAGTCTCCAGGTTATGGAGAGGAATTGGCAGGTGGCCTCAGACTTCCAACTATGAGTCTCGGACAGGGAGCCCAAGGGGAGTCCAAGGAGACAAGGCGGGTTTTCTAGGACTGTCTGGAATGCTGGGCAGAGCTCAGCGCTGTGACTCTCCGAAATGGATCTGGAAAGCAGCCAGCTTTTCAATTCCATTTATTAACTAATAGTCTATTATTTTCCTCTAGGATTAATTTTTAAATGCAAATGGTATGTTTTATCGCACATTCAAACATTTAGCACCCAGTGATCCCTGGTCTCTGAGGAGGGCCGGCCTTCCTCTGGAGGCTGGAGATGCCCAGGCAATCGCTGGGCACCCCAGGAATGGGGGGACCTGGGTGGGGGTTCCAACCTTTTGTTCCTGAATTCCAACTCTGTGACACTCCCATGATCAATTCAGGAGGGGTGAGGCAATAGAGGTGACATGAGGGGACAATGGTGGAAAGCCAGGAGCCAATTCTCCTTGCCCACAATATTCTCCTCCACTTAATTAATATCACAAAGGGAAGCTGGGTCTGCATTGGATTGTGGGGATTATGCAAATGAGGCTGTGGACAGAGATTTCTGAGCACCTGGTTGTTCTGGCTGCCACGAGAGCCTGTCCAGCTTGCAGCCACCAAGGCTCCCTTGAGTCCAGGACATGGGGAAGGCAGCTGAGAGGCCCTGGCTTAACAGGTCCAGCCTGGGGCTATAGCTTCTCATTTTCCTAGTGTGGTGGTGGGGAGTCTAGTGGTCACCTGAAGGGAGCCCAGCCATGAGATGTGGGGTTTGCTTCTTTTCCACATGACAGCTTGGGAATCAGAACTGGGTTTGAATCCTGCTCTACCACTTGTTGGCTGTGTGACCTCAAGTGAGTGGTTTCACCCCTCCAAGCCTCAGTCTCCTCATTAGGAAAATGCGGAAGGCAATGCTCACAGAGTCCATGTGAAGGTCAAGGTGTTAAAATCCTGCAAATATCTGGGACTCCCCTCCCAGGTGCCAAGTGCCTCTTCTTCCTCTTCCTTCACGAGAAATGACTGTAAGAATAGTTCATGGAGCATTATAATTACAGTATTAGTATAAATAATAGAAAAGCAAATTTTATATACAGTCATCCCTGGTGTCTGGGGGAGGGGGTTGGTTCTAGAACCCCTGAGGATATAAAAATCTTTGGCTGCTCAGATCCCGTCTCTAAAATCCCATAGTGTTTGCATATAACCTACGAATCTCCTCCTGTATTCTTGAAATTATCTCTGGATGACTTGCAATAGGCAATACAATGTAAACGCCATGTATTATTACATGGTACTATTCAGGGAATAATGACAAGAAAAAATTGTACGCGTTCAGTACAGATGCAATTTTTTTCCAAATATGT